TATTTTTTACAATAATAAAATAATAAGTTTTTTTAGTTTCAATAATAATATGTTTAAAAAAAAACTTGGGACTTTTTCAGGACTTAAGTCCCAGGACTTTTTAGGACTTTAAGTCCCAGGACTGTCCTGAACTGTTTAGGACTGATTAACATCTCTAGTTTTCATATGCATAAAAAAAATTACCAAAATTTAATATATATATGGGGAGTCCCAAGTGAAAATGAGTCAAAAAGGGCTTAAAGTTTTTTGTTATCAATTATCCATAAAAGGAAATTATGACCCGAGAATTTTTAAAATAGAAAAATATGCAATGATCTTGACCCCAAAAATTTTAAAAATAATAATAATAATACAATTAATATTAATAAATTAATAAATTAATAAATTAATAAACAATAAAATTAATAAACAATAAAATTAAGGCCTAGATACAGAAGGTTCTGGACAAATATTATTTCTTTTATCAGGATTTTGCACTAGATCTCATATCTTTAATCTTCAATTCATCATTTAAATTAATTGAATTAATATCTAAATTGTAGTTTTTTAAAAGGCAATAATAAGATCCAAAATCATCATCATAATGTCTTTTATATTTTATACAACCTGGATGTTCACTTTCAAATATAAAATGATAATATTTAGAAATTCCAGGGAGAGTTTTAAAATAGATAAAAAAGCATTCCATTGGTAAAAATCTACTTTTCTTTCATCATTTTCATAAATAGGTTGTGCCAAATTATGCATAGCTGTAGTTGAATTATTGACAACTTCAACTAAATCATCAACATCATCAACTTCTGATCTTCTCAATTTTAATTTGATTAAACCAAAAAAACCATCTGGTGAAAATTTGGTATGTCCAGGTACCATGAAAGAATAAGTTATCCTTTTATGTAATCCATTCATCACTCTCTAGGCTAAATACCATATCATAGTATTATTTTTATTTTGGCCAGAACAGTTATCAGCATGAATGATAATATTTTTTTCGCCTAACCCATATTTTTGAAAGTAATTATGTACCATGGAAATTACAGCATCAGAACCTTTCCCTACTGAATATTTTTCTGGAATTAAATAATTTATCTAAATTTTAACAAAAATATTAGCATGTTAACTATATATTAAAAAAATATTAATTTAATAAATATATTTACTTGTCTTGGTATAGCATCATTACATATACCAAATAATTGCACTTTATACAATGATTTAAAAAATGAAGTCCCCTAATTGATTTTATGGAAAGTTAGTTAAATTAAATAATTTTTTAAAAGTGGAAAAATTAAGTTACCACTTGCTGAGTTGAACATGGAAGGTGTATTTGTTCTGCAAAATCCCATGAAATATGAACCTCAATATTTGATGAACATGGAGAAATTTCCTCTTCTATGGATGTCAATTCATTATTTTTCAAACTTTCTTTGGCAATTTGTATGCAACTCCTAATTTTTTTATAACAAAAAAATTGATGATATAATAAACAAATATTTTATAAGTTTGAATCAATACCTATAATTATCTCTTTCTTTATTTGCCCACTTAATATGTTCATTCCAATTATTAACTCTTTTTTCTTTTCCAGCTAAAGACCAAAAATTTGCATTAAACCTCATTTCTTTACATAAGGTGCAAAGATCAGTTTGTGGTGATAGGAATTGAAATTCAGGAAGATAACTCTTCCAAATTTTTACAAAGGTTGAATAGCCAATATGATCTTCTGTCTCAGTTCCAATACAACATAAAAATTCCTCATGCATTCCTGTATAGCTGTCTTTTGTAGGTAATAAATAATTGCCTTTGTATCTCTTTTAAAATGGCAACCTAGAATAAAAAAATAAGTTACTAATCAATATTAAATAAATAATACACATTTTTAATTTTACCTGGTGATAGTAAACCATTCAAATTTGCATAAATTTTTAAAAAAGTAAGCACTTTTAATATTGTCTCAAAAGAGAATTTATTATGAGAAACCTTTTTTCCTTTGCTTAAATGCACTTTTGGTACAATATCATTACCTTTATAATGATTTTTTAAACCAGTTAATCTATTTTTTGATAAATCATATAATTTTAAAAAAGCACTACTGCATATTGCTACACCATCAAATACATAAGCCATTGTCAAATATTCACTAGTTGATGTTGTCGAATTTCTGGTTGATGTTGAAATAATTCCCAACCATAAAATAGCAACTTCTTGATCAATTTCTTCTAAACAATTTTTATTACAACAACTTTTCTTGAATATATTTATAATATAATTTTTTGCTTGCTCTTTTTTTTCACTTAATTTTTCATTTTCAGCTTTTAATTCATTAATTTCTGATTCTTCAATTTGTTCATTATTGTAAATTTTTTTAAATTTCTCAATTTCTACATTTGAAAAAACTTCATTATTTATTTCACCATCAAAGTCATCATGAAAATCTTCTACTTCAGTCTCAATAATATTTTCTGTTTCAATATCTTCATAAGAAGCTCCCATAAAATTATTTGGAGTTCTTGTAAATTTTCATATAAACCTCTTAATTCTGGGTGGGTCTCATTGAAAATATTATTTATATATAAGGGATTATTGTTAGTACACATATTAAAAAATTATAGAAACTTTAAAAAAATTTATTATTGTATGATAATCAAATTTGGATATTTTTCTGAAGATCATTCCGACTTTTTTTAAAGAAATAAAGATATTGCAAAATCTTATTAAGCAAATATGGGTATGTTTCTAAGCCGAAAAGATTCAACACCTTAAATTACATATAACTGCATCATTATCTCAAAAATGACAAAAAAAAAAATTGACTCATTTTCGCTTGAGACTCCCCAGATACATTATGTCATCAAACATGAATAATCAGTAACACAATCTACTTTTCTCACAATATATGTGATAAACAAGTAAGTTTCAAACTAGTTTCGCCTTTCACCTTTCCATTTTGCACTGAATATTTTTACTTTCAAGTTGGTTAGATAATTTGCAATAACAATGGATGAGACAGCTAAAAATGGAATTCATCAAACCTTTCAGGTATTTTTTACAGAAAAGGAGGAAGGTTAAAGGTTAAAGCAGTTAATAAAAATTTTTTTTGTAGGCTTCAAGGAACCATTATTCTGTTCAGTCCCAAGGGCAAGATGGTGACCCCACCTCATTAGAGACTGATATTAATGATTACGGTTTGGGACATCATATATCTTCTATGGACATACCACATAAGTTGGCCTCCCTGGAGAATGATGCTCCAAGGCCAGACTGCATATCTGATGAAGGTGTTGGAGCTTCTTGTCGACAAAATTTTAAGGATGGAGATGAATATGTTGGCCTGCCCATCCACAGTAAACCTCACATTTTCAACCTGGAAAGGGAAGATTGCAAGATACATGTTCAGGGCATCGATTCATTGTGGGACAGCAAAAACGAAACAAATGAGAGAGCTAATATACAAAAAAAACAAACTGACATCAGAGATGAGAGTGAAAATGATGCCAACTTTGTTTTCAAGTGTCTCAACCAACAAAGAATTCAAGAACTGCAGTCAACCTTGGGGCAACTGCTCCGAATTGGTACCCTGGAGGGCTCTGCATGGACAGAGAAAACCATGCAGATGCCATGTTGTCTTGTATTCCCAGATGATCAATCTGAAAAAAAATATGAAAACTCATCCCTGTATTATGTGTCAGCTGGTAATGGACTCAATGAATCATTGTGCAATAATCCACTTATTGTAGTCGAAAAGATCATGAGCGAATCCGATTCTTTTCGTGTTGCAACTTCTCTTCACCTTAAGCTCCAAAGCGAAAGTCCTCAAGATGATGTTATTCGTTATGTGAAAGAAGATCTTACATGTTATATAAAGGAAATTAAACGGTATGGTTTCGATCATATCATTATCATTGGGGAACGTTATTGCGGAATGCTTTTTCTGGACTGCTATGGTCGTGTATTTGATTTGGATTCTATGACGAATGTATTATGGTTTCTTGGAAATTATTTTGAAATAATGCCAAATGAATCCGAGGCTGGCCGGGTGGCATGGGATGTATTGGATGATGGAACTATATTTGAGATCGATAAATGTATGTGTATGTATTTTTACTCATATTTTACCTTAATTTTTTATAACTATTTTCTTTTCTTTCAGATTTACCAGAAAAACACAACACTCACCCAATTGTGAAGAAGAACAAGAAAAAAGATAAAAATAAAAAAAAGCATCATTGATTTGATTGCATTTATTGCACTACATTAGTAGAAAGTGTGATCTTACAATCTCGGTGAATAATTAGTATACACATATTACAAATTGATAATTATGTTACTTTGCTCATAATAATTTACCCTATAGTAATGTATTTTGAATCTAATCTATCAAGCTAATAAAATTTCAGGTTTCTATTTTTTAACTTTGCTATGCTTATATGTGGTGTGATGTGAGGTGTGCATTGGAAAATAAAATAGAGACCATGTGTATGCATGTAATTGGTGTTACAAAAAAATAATGCACAAATTTTTTTATTGCTTAAACCTACGAAAATAATGTATAATGGAGCATTTAAAGTTTTAAGTTTACTCAATAAGACCCAATTCTCGAAGATGATCTGGAATAACTGTATATGGATCTTCATAGTACCAAACATATCTTAAAACAATCCAGTTTTCTTCACATAATTCTTTCTTGAGTTGATCCTGCTTTTGCTGTTGGACAAAATTATTGAGATCCCTATGGAAGAATTCGATATATTTTTTGTGTTGCTCTCCTTGTACTTCAATTGCAAAACCATATTCCGGGTAATAAATATCAAGTTCTAAACCTGTAGAACATTTTGATACTTTGAGAAAATCAGGTCAACATATCTTAGATGGCAGTCCAAGATATTTTGATACAATTTCTCGACATAATTCTTCATGTTTGAATTTTGAGCAAAATGGACACCACTATTTTTATTTCTAATACTACTAAAAGATGTATACCAAATATGACCGCTACATTTCCAATAATATTGATCTCTGGATTTGGTATATTTTTTAGAAAGGCACAAGCCATTGTATGATTGCACAATTTTCTGCATCTCTTCAAGATTTAATTTAAATCCATATTTTACACATTGATAACACCATGTATTATGATTTTTTATACTACCAAGGGATGCATATCATATATGCAATTTATTACACTGCCATTTTAATGGAATTTTATTGTTAATATATTGGATGGAAAGACATTTACCTCCTTTACTATTCCCAATTCTATTGCAATTTCGAGATTAAGATGGTTGTGGTTATCAGCACAATATTGACACCATGTGCCATGATTTTTTATACAGTGAAGAGGTGCTAACCAAATATGCCCTTCTTTGCATTTCCATTCTATGGGGCTTTTGGCATTGATATACTGAGTGGAAAGTCATTTTCCATTATGTTTTTTAGCAGTTATTTGAGCATCACTTAAAGATAATTTTTTCATTATAATAGATTGTTACTTTTAATATAAAATCACAGGTTGGATACATGCTACTTTATAAAATATCAAGTAAAATATGATGCATCTTCCCGTAAGAAGTGGTGAGTAGAATGTATTTATATTGTTGTACTAATAAATAGCAGAGAAAAATTAATTATTTGATTGTCAAACCTTATCCTATTCATCCAATTTCAGAGGAGTGTCCCAACTGAGTCTAACTGCTAGAGGATCATCAATGGCCTTAGTAAAATCAAAGACTACAAAATTTCAATCCTGTAAATGTTTATCAATTATCTTGGATGATAATGATGAAGACTATGACAAAGGTGATAGTGAAGGTGAAGAATGATTAGAAATACCAAATGAAGAAGTTTATGTTTTAATTGTTAATAAGATGGTTGATTTAAATAATCCAATATTTAATGAGGATTATGATGATTTAAATGATAATATTGAGGTAGAAGATGGGAGTATGGAAGAAAGTTCTGAAGAAGTATTTGATTTTGATGCAATTCCTGAAATTTCACCTCCACCAAATATGTAAAAAATTATAAATAGATTAAGAATATTTGGAATTTTTTTGGAGTTTCAAAACAGTTTAGGAATTCGGGCTGATTTTCTAAACCAGTTTAGAATGGTTTTAGTTTTGAATAGTTCTACACTCATGAGTTTCAGAAGGCAACTCTACTGTAAAGAATTCAATTACTTTCTCCATCAATGCTGATTCTCACTTATTTGATTATATAATAAAAATTTATTAATTAATGAATAATAGATTTAAACAACTAGAATGATATATACTGTATATAATGTATGAATCACCAATTTCACCACCAATAGCAATCATATTGTGACAGATTTTTTGAAACTCATCTATGGGTAATGTTACTAGATTCTGGTAACATTGTAAGAGGTGATGTTGTTTATATTTAGCTTTATATCCATACATTTTTTGATCATATTTGTCCAAAATAAATCTGTCATTTAAAAATCGTTTTGTCCACATTGATTCATTACAATCAATCAATATAAACCATGCTTTACAGATTAATATTGCTTTAACAATACTGTCTAGGTCTAAATAGTGAAGTATGTTTAGAACTATGTCACCAGGAAAATTTTCCAAACTACATGGATAATGTTTATTAAAGTCCCTATCATCAAATAATTTGTTACTAAAAGGCAATAATGATGACAAGTTGCAATAATTGCAACTACAAGAGTAGCAGCAACAGTGCACACAACCACCACCACCTTTAAAACCCCCCCCCCCGTTTACTTGTAATATTCCTCCTGCTCATTTTTTTCATTTCTTCTTTCCTGGGAAGCTTGCTTGCTTGAGCATCTTTTTTTTAAAAAAATCAGTCAGCAAAATAAAGGAGTAAATGCGCATCAATATATATATATTAACTAGAGTGGTAACAAGACTTTTCATTTAAAAAATGAACATTGACTTTTTATCCATACTTAACATTAAAATAATAGCACCTACCCAAACCGAGATTCTTCACATTCATCTTGATGTTTTCTCTTCTTTTTTTGTCTCTCCACCAGGGTTGGAAAATTTGACTGGTCAATGGACAGCAGCACATTTGCCAATCCTGCTCTCCACTAATAAAGAGATTTTGAAAAAATAATTTTTTTTATTTGATTGATCAACATGCACACAAATTTATTATAACACACACAAATATATGGGTTGTACAACAAACCCCTATTTTTGGAAAAACAATTTATTTTTTTCACAAAGGGTCCACCATGGTTTGAACCAACTTATAATCATGGATGTAAAATCATCAAAGTCTGAGGTCCAGTCTGTTCATATATGAGCACTTCTTCATGGCTTAGGCAAGACCACCTGCACATTTTGCTCCCAAAACTTTATCAATAATTGGGTTGATATTGGAATTACATCAGTGTTTGCTACTTTCAACCAGGACTTCAAGACTATAATAGTGTAATGTCATAATGTTAATTAATCACTGCTGATGAATATTCTCAGGATGGATAATCAAATTCACTTACATTCTCCAGTTGATACTAAGGACAGCCTTGAGCACATTATTCAGTACTGGACTTACAAATTGTGCATTGTGCTGACTTTCTCCAAGGTCTCCTGATTTTAGTATATTGTATGGTGCTTTGAAAGCTTTGATACTAAAAGAATAAAAATCAAAATATTAACATAATAGATTGAAAGCATAAAAGGATCATAAAAGCTTAAACATACTATGGGTCAAGAATATTATATATCACATCTTTGATCACCACGTCTCCATTGCTTTCATTTTCATCAGATATCGCATAAATTCTGTGCCAGGTTTTCATCCATTCTGCTAATGAGTATTTTGGCCACTTGGCCAACAATGAATAATAAAAATTAGCCAAACCAAAAGCAATTCACCTTTTTCTAGACTTTGCAACATACTGTGAAGATATCTTGCACTAATTTTTCCCATGCTTCAGGTATTTTGTATTCAGGATATGTATTTGACATGAAATTCTCCCAGATTACTTCAGGTATTTTTTCTGTGAACCATGAGGCAGGTCTAAGGTCCATTATATTGCTATGACATAGCTAATAAAAAGGTGATAATAACAAGTAAGTCTATGTATTTTGAGTTCATATAAACCACAGGAGTAACTATACTCACTCAAAGATATTTTGGCAATCTTTAAGTAGTCTTTGAAAACTTCCTCCAAATTGACAACATCTACTATCAGTGCTGTTCTTTCCACTTTCCCAATCATTGATTCTGTCACTTTTTGAAAATTATCATCTGTATCTGAGTTAATTCAAATGATATGTGTCAGCCATGTAGTGAATCTGTAGCACAAACCACTCATTTGCAATATGGGACAGTCTCCAGCAAAAACCACCTTGAAAAATTCCGAAGAATCCTGATGGGGCTTTTCGGAGCTTTATTTTCCCAAGAATATTGTGGTTAACTTTTTCATACTTCCAAATTTAATACCTTATAACATGTTGAACTTTTTTTTACTAACATGCAGTATGCTGTTAATTTGATGCTCTTCAGAAAATGAAGTTCCGAAAAGTTCCATCAGGATCCTTTGGAATTTTTCAGAGGTGGTTTTTGCTGGAGACTGTCCCATATATCACCAGATATAGCACCTTTTTCTTGTTCATCTTCATCTTAAGGTCGGCATCTGTCTTCCTGATTTTTCTTGTTCATGTCCTCATTTGGTTTGTATCTAAATATAGTTGTGTAAGCCTAAAAAAAGTCTATATTCAGAAAGAAAAAATATTGAAAGACATACCTGAAGTTTTGAGTTTTTTCTGTTAGTTTAGAGGAACTTTATACAGATAGAATTAAAGTTATATACTACAGTCAGAAAGGAACCCATATGGTCTTTAAAGAAATACCTTTGGCTTCCTGAACCTCTGATTTCATCAACAATTGCTGTCTTAATATTCATCTGAAAAATTGGAGGAAATCAAATAGTAAGCAAATCATTACAAAATTTATAATAATATGGCCTCAATTTTGAATCACCTTAGCAAGTAGTTCACTGGGTGATAAACGAACTTTGGACTCTATAATCTCTTTGCTCCTGTTCCAGACAATAACAATGATTTCTGACAATCTATTCTTAAAAAAAGTTAGAACTTTTGGAAATATATAGCAATATTTTTTGTGCGTATTGGTAAGCAGAGTGTACATGCAAAGCATCACAATGAGTGAAACCATCGTGCTTCTCCTCCCCATCAGGTTAGAAAGCACCCAACCCTCCACAAAAGCACCGAGGGGCATAGTTATAAGCTGACAAGCAGTCTTGCCCAACACCCCCTCTTTCACATTAACTAACCTTTAATTGTGTCACCGATTAAATTTGGGAGAGCGTATTTTAATTGGTGATAACAATTATTTTTGTTTTGTGATCAACAAATTGATTTTGTTATTAGCGAATAATTTTGGTTAAAGAAGATAAAAGTTTATCTAAATAAAATATTACTATTTTATTTATTTAGTTTTATTTAGTCGAAATTAATTAACTTGTTATCAAGTTACTTTTACATTAGTTCGAAATCAAGTTCTTTATATACATGTTCATTTACATATTAGCCCGAATTGCGCGAATCCGCTCGGTTTGGGCGAATCCGCTCAAATTGCGCGAATTCGCTCACTTTGTACTTGGGCGAATCCGCACGTTTTGAGCGATTCCGCCCGTTCCGGGAGAATCG